AGAAATTTTTCACGCAAGTTTAATTATAACAATATGAACAATTTTTTAAAAGATGACTCTATTAGGATTAACACAACCTATAATGACAAATTTTACTTAATTTATGGAATACTTTTTCAAATAATTATAATATAAATTGACAATTATGATTTAATTAATCGTAATAATTGGATAATTGAATAATGCAGAATTTTAATAGAATTTAATTATAATGAATATTAATAAAATGCGTTAAAATGACAATTAATGAAATCTTGCTGGTGCCTACAGCAATATATGAATATATATTAATATAATGTATTTTCATTGAAGCAAAGTCCATGTTGAAATTATTTTGCTCCGTATTTGAAATATTTGTATTTGTATTTTTGGAAGAAATTGCAAAGGAAAATGAGAAAATCGGATATATAAAGTTTATTTTAATATTGTAATGATCTTTTTGTTTGTATATCATCCAATATCGTTCTAAGTTCTTCGTCTTCTAGGCGTCCTTCGAGACTCGGAATGAGAGCTTTCGCCTCCTCTGGAGTTTCAGGACACAAGTTGGCTAACGAAGCAATTTCGAATTTGTGTAGCTTCTTTTGCATCAACAAACTACAACAATGTAAAAGTATTATATTTCACATTGTATTTAATTTATTATTATTAGTATTGTGTGTTAACATATTACAAGCATTTTGTATAAAATAATTTATCTATATTAATAAATTCATTATATATTAATATTAATAATCTACCTTCTAACAGCTGCGATTGTCTCTTTATTTTTTAACTTTCCGAATCGGTTGGTGTAAGTTAAGCTCTTCATGAAAACTTCGGAAAATTCTTGTTCTTCTTCCGCAGATTCATTTTGAGCTTTTCTGTGTTCAAGAAGCATATAAACTTCCGATATCAACAATGTCTCGGCATTTTCAAATTCTGCGGAGGAATTTATTGTCTTCGTTACTTGAATAAAAACTTACAAGAAAACGTTAATAAAAATGACAGGATAAAAGAAAAGAGGATTTGCAATCTATTTCACACACACAAACTTTATAAATAAAAATTTCATTTACTAGAAATCGTCGTTATCTTATATATTATTTATTCAGTATTTTTTCTACAAATACCGAATTTCCATTAAAAATATAACTTGTACTATATTTGTACTCTCAATATTAATACTATATTTCGGATACTATATTTCGGATACTATATTTCGGATACTATATTTCTACACCGTGTCGGCTGCTTTAAAATAGTCATTGAGCTGGCTTATTTACGTGTCCCTTTTCCACCAAAAAGTCATATATCTTTCGCGTTTTATTCACGTCGATTTTTAAGAGAATACGGGCATGGGCTAATCTAAGATAACCATTCTTTTTGCTTTCCGTTATCAAGAGATGTTTAAAGTCTAAATAATTGGCGGGCATGACTCTCACGACGGAGCAAAGCTCCTTCTCGTCGACGTTCAGTTTTTCGTATCCTGGTAAACCTTTTATAGCGAGAGGCGGCGCGGTTTTGCGTTGTGTGTTTCCAAGAATCGGGCTGTTACAGCTAACAACATTATCAGGTAATACATTTCTCCAGTTGTATTCCGGATTGTTTAGATACTGCTTTCTTTCCCGCTCATATTCCTGCCTCAATTTACTTAGTTTCTGAAACATGGGTACGCTATGAAAGTGCTTAAGCCCGTTTTGCCTGAACTCTAATAACTTGTTGATATGATTCTTTAGCTCGCCAACGCGGTGAAGACCTTCCATGAGAAAATCAAATTTTATCCCATCTACGAGCTGCATGAATATCAGCAATCTCTCTGCGAGCGGCCTCGTTATTGTATTCTCGTATCTCTGTATCGAGGATATAACTTTGCGTAATGCGATTAGTCCGTGTTGGCGAATAATTCTGTGTCTTCTCTTGCGCTCCTTTAATCTGTTGTTGTATGCCTGCACCATTGCCGCTTGCAAAGCTTGTCCTAATTCGTATGTGTCGTCGCCCGGTTGAAAGTCGTTGAATTCGAGCTCGGATATCAACGATTCTGCATGATTATCGAAATTTACCTCAAAATCGGATCTAGCTGCGTTATAACCTGCCAACAGTCTGCTGTTGCTCGTATTTGAAGCGAATCTTGGTGGTTCTTCCAGGTCTTGCAACTTGTGCATGTAAGGTATCGGTTCGCAACCAAATAAGCTGGTTTTATTCTCCTCGATTTTCGGCAGATTTGGCAGAGTTTGATTGTCTATGTAATGCTGCAAATAATGCATTTTGCACTCAGTGGCAGACTTTCTATGCATCCTACGTCCCACATCTATCCAATTTCCAAAGCCACATTGTTGCAAAACACGTAGTAACTCGAGTTCCTGCTTGGCAGTCCAATTGCTACCCTCAATCAGAGGAAATTCATTCTTTATAATGACATAGTTGTGATCATTCTTGTGTTCGTCGATCTCGCAGCCTTTGGCAAAGCACAATGGACATATCTCGACATTGATGCACATGGCGCAACGAATATATGGTTCCACTAGGCTAGACCTGCACACGCGGCATATCTGATCTGAGGCAAAAATTTTCTTCAAGACTGACACCTCAAGGTCTACGTCATTTTCAGATTTATCTGTTGGACTCAATAAACAGTCTGAAAGAGGAAAATTGTTACCTTAGACTTGACCGCTCGGATGTGCAGGCATTTTAAAGTAATGTTAACGCAAAAAGCGAATATACTCTATGGAATTGTTTGAAATTGTCTGTGCTTAAGCTTCATAACGTGAGTGAAGATTTAAAATTTACATTAACGTGTTAACACTGCTGTTGTTTACACAGCAGCAAAACTATATTTGCACACTTCTTCTATTTCTTCTTTTTAGTAGATAAATATCAAGAGAGTTAAAATATAAAACAGCTGATTAGATTTACGTTCTTTATTGTAAACTCGTGCAATTTCAAAGCCCTCGCAATTAACGTCTACTATTAACAAATTTATTGTCAACAAAGTATTATGAAAGTGAGGTTAGCTACAGCGTTTCTGCCAGTTTGCCAATAACGATTAAGAAATCAATGTACCTTTCGGGAATTGCAGATCCGCCGCATCCTCCTCTGTCATATCCGTAAGATTAGGATTAGCCATGTTCACTAATTTTTACTGAATATGTCTTATTCGTCCTCAATCGCTCGTGGCCAAGCGTGGTGACTTATATGGCTGTGATTGCACGGTGGTCGCGCAGTCGTAAACTACGAGCGTGGCGTAACAAGCAGCGCGCGAGACTGCTATGCCAGAGATCCCGGGTTCGGTCCCAGACCGAAAAATGTTTTTTTTCATTGCTCTCGTAGCTCCTCTCGGAAGGCAATGGCAAACCACCGAGAGTATCCTTGCCAAAAAGCAACTTCTCTTCATTGTCGATATCTTCATTTTTCAATTATTATTTAAATCACTGCTTTATAATAAAAACACACTTTGGCACGTCCAATACGATCATGCTTCATTCATCCCGATTTATTCTCCCCTCTACATGCGTCCAAGGACGCGCGTAAATCACGTGACACTCATCTGCACTCGTCAAGTTCACTCGGTGTGTTCCACCTGGAGCAGCAGAAGTGCTTAGTGGCGCGATCAGGTGGCAGAATAGCAAACGTTTCCACAAAATTTTTCGACCAACCGGTATGAAAATCTTTCATATATCTTTATATGTATATTTTATTGAGAAAACATCTCTCATATCCTTTTTTTTTTTATTATTTAGATTCAGATGAAAAAATTCATTTTCGTTTAATTTATAATACAAGAAAATTATTACGTAAAATTGATTTATTTGTTAGTGTCTTGTTTCATTATATTTTACGTAGACAAAATCATTTTATAATACGTGAATTTTGAAAGAAATAAGATTTTATTAAAAAATAACATTTACAAAAATGTCCGTAATTTTTCGTTTTTTGCTAAGCTAAATATTTGCAGTATACAATCGATTTATAGTTTGATATTAAATTTAATTAATATACGTCATGATGTAATTATATCACGTCAACTAGCATTAAAACGCACAACTGCATGCAAAATATGTATTCTTGTATGCTATCGGCAGAATAATAAAACAGACTAACAATTAAGAGTTCAGCAGGTACTATTATTTCGTAATCGTTTAAATAGCATATTCTATAATAACTTTGTAACATGTAGAATGTAGACATTATACTAAATGCGTCCTGAACAATAAACCAGGCGTCGCTTGAAAATGCGGGATAATTAAGGTCAAACGTAGAGCGATAACATCGGAATACCTAATCGAGAGAATCCGCGTTGAAATCATTAGTATGCACATTTGTCACCATTCAATGAGAAACAATGAACGTGAGACCATGAATAAAACCGTCTGCACTATTGTCAATGAAGAGAAATCATTTTCAAGATGCATATTTTGTTTGTATTTTGCACGATATTTTTTAACTTTCCTTTAAAGACAAATACGTTCGAAAAAAGTAAACCATCCATCGTCACAAGAGAAGAAAATATTTATTAAATAATAAGAATTATAATAAGAACGAATTCGCTTATAATATCTTAATGGCACAATTATTGGCATAAATGGCAATATTAACTACTGATCAAATATTAGCCCAATATTAACCCAATATAGCTTCAATGTTTAATTAATGTATCGTCAATAAATTGCTATTAAGGTATCGTTAGATAATAAATAATATGTACGAACATACAAATAAAATAAATTAAAAAAATTTCTACATAATTATCTTTTCTCTATACAACTCATTAATAAAAATGAAGCTTTATAGTGAAGAAAAATTGTAATTAGCGGCATATAAATTTTATATATGCTGCGAACATTTATGCATCAAATTTTGCTGTTGTTAAAATAATTCTTGCGTCATGCACTACTTGGCACGAAAAGCGAAATGAATTTTTAATGAAAAAAATATATTACTTTGTACATGATGCTTGAATAATACTTTTTAAATATCTGCTGTATATAATTTTTTTATTCGTTACATTTATTTAAACATTCACGGTAGTAAGACATTTGAATCAGATATTGCAGTTTAAGTATATACAGGAAAAAAATAGCCAATAGAGAGCCAACACAGTTATATAACAGTGGGTAAAATTTTATTATTTATTCCGAACTAAAGTGTAGACGTTTCGACCAACGATTTCGATCCTTGTTAATGCAAATTATAATCACACATGAATAAAAATCTATTCTTAATACATAATATAATTCCTAATACGTATTATAATATCACAATCTAAATATTCTAGAGATAAGATAGTCACATATTAATAGTGCATAAAAGTTTGTAAAATGATCATTTTGTTACCACAAAAATTTAAATTCCAGAAAGAGGTTCAGAATTAAGGTGTTATATGACAGTGCAATCAATTGTTTGATAAACCAATATATAAACGCCAGTCATTTTCAATTAAGAATTATATGAAAATTAATACGAAGTGAAAATTGTTGCGAATAATTCTCAACTGACAGTCGCATTAAATTTTCTCCACATTATTTTCATAATAATTATTAATAACACAATGGTTCATCGAATTGATGATACATCGTTTACAATAGTTCCGCGGAAAATGACTGGCTTTATACATTGGTTTATCAAATAATTGTCATATAACACCTTAATTCTGAACTTCTCTTTAGAACTCAAATTTTTGGAACTCAAATGGTAACAAGATGACCATTTTACAAGCTACTATGCGCTATTAATATATGACTATCTTATCTCTAGAATATTTAAATTGCGATAATTATATTTTGTATTAGGAACAGGTTTTTATTTATGTAATTTGCATTGAAAAGAACGAAATTCTTTTCGTTGAAACGTTTGCATTTTAGTTCGGAATAAATGATAAAATTTTACGCACCGTTAATCGCGTTAGCTCTCTATTGGCTACTTTCTTCCCTTTTTTATTAGATTTATCTTCAGAGCCGTATTTATATCTTTATTTAAGTATACATAAGTATATACGTAACAATAACATCACATATTAGCCAACTATGCGCACATATTAGCCAACATTTTGTGAAAGTATCGGGTAAAACATGTTTTAAGCACGCTAATTAGCAGCTTTCTATACCGAAAATGTGCCGTTAATAATAATGGTGATTAATTTTTTTAGAAAATAAAATGTCTTCCCCAATCACTTTTATATCGCTTGAGCGTAATTATACAAATGTAATTCTCTTTTTTTATGTGTTCTCTTTACTTTTAGTATAATTTCCTAAAAATTTAAAGTGTTTTTTTTTTACAATTTTATTCAACTCTGATTGTGTAAAACAATAGCTCGAACAATAGATTGAGTAAAACAATAACTCATGTTTTTTAAAAGCACGCAAAATTAATGTTATAATTAAGTACCTGAATTTAAATTAATTTTTAGGAGTATAAAAGAAATTAATTGTATCGTTCTAACACACAACACATTCGTCCTGTATATATGTACATTTAGAACGCTGGGAATAATGTTTATCTTTTGCTTTCTATATGTCTCACATGCGCCCTACGAATGTCTCCCGAACCGCACCATCCTTCACGCGTCGCGTGTCCTGGAAACAATAGAAACTCGCGCTATACACGAGGGAAGTTTGCTCCGTGTAGTTCTGTCGTGCGAGGCGTGCGAGCGTGCATTAATACGCGAAAAGCTCGTCGCTCGGTCGCGGTTGAAGTGTCGACGAGTGTTAGGAGGAGTATACGCGTGAGGAGTTGATTTCCGCGTTTTCGACGGGATACGCGATCTGCTTAAAAATGGAGACAACGAATGACGTCGAACCGGATTTCTCGAATGCAAAGACGCTGCATGTCCGCGAGCTGATAGACAGGAAGGACGAGAACGTCCGGTCGGCACGCAATAGCATTTTCGATACTGTTTATGGAGTAACTACCGTTAAAGGGTAAGAGATCGTTTGACTTGTCAAAAAGAAACTATAGGAGATCATTAGAAAATTGTTCGGCAAAGCTCGAGGAGCTTTTTGCAGCTTTTTCGCTCAATCAACTATTAATCTTTTATCGATTGCGATGTATTTATGAAATAAGATATAAAAAGCGTAAAACAAAATCGATTTCTTACTTGGATAACAGACAAAAAATCCTATACAGCTATACTTATCCTTAATTTATTTTATCAAAAAGATAAAAATAAAAACCAAACTATTGCGGTGCACAATATTTTCTGCTCATCTGATTTTATTCTTTGATATCTTTAACATAATAACAACATATTAATTATTCATAATTTTTTTTTCGTTTTTAGAAGAATTTTTACGTTTTTAGAAGAAATTGCGTATGATTTTAATAAATCAAGACAATAAAATTATTGCAAAGATACAGTGATTCATTTCTTCTTAATTTTTATTAAAATCAATCAATTTTTCTTTTTTTTAAATATTAAAAAAGTCATGATAAATTATATATTTCCCGTAACAATTAAATTTTGTCCTAAATAATTACTCAATACTCAATACGTTGCTATAATATGTCATATTGTCGTATTATTTTCGATTATAAAAAGATAAATTTTATTCTTTAAACAAGTATTAAATGCGATAATTATTCAGTTATTGTGAAATTAATTTTAAATGCAGAATTTTCGTTAACAGAATTTTCGGCTCATATTTATTTTATAGCAGTGCCGTCTAAAATTTGTAATTCTGGACATTGGCTTAATATATATCTTTATAAGTGTTCAAGCGTATTGTCTTCTTTTTTCTATTTCTATTTAAAAAAGAAGGTATATATATAATAAGACATACACATACTTCAAATTAATATCAAGAATTACAAAACTTACACATTATTTTATAATACAATGTATTTCATAGGATGATGAAATATTTAAATTATGAAATTCAACCGTACGATGATATAGCTTATATTATTTACATACACGTGGTTACCTCAAAGTCATCGCGCAACGAAACTCAGGAACTGTATTGATATTCGATTTTATTGCGCAGGAAAACGCAAGCCGTTGAATGATTAATAACAATAAAGCAGTTTTTGCAGTATATATACAATGATCGAATGATAAAAATCATCTCTCAAATTATAATAAACTTTATAAGAAACATCTCAATTAACAATATCCTCAGCTAACAGTAAAATTAAATCTCTAAAGAATCGACGTAACAAATAAAATGCAAATAAAGGCTATATTCTTCTTTATGTTTGGTAATTATGTAGGTATATGTTTTATGAAATGTAATTTATAAAAGAAGTTAGTTACATCTTATGTGATTGATACTTAAAACGTCGGCGAATAATTAATGTTACGTCATCAAAAAAAAATTACATCCATAAACTTAGCCGGTGTGCCGTTCATGGACGAGAAAAAAATTTTAATGCAGTTTTAACAAAATTTTATCTTCTGAATGTTGAATACAAACAT